ATACCTTATGTACCGCGAGGGGTCATTCGACCCCTTATGGTAAGATAGGTATGTGTAAAAGTATATGTATAGGTATATGTATATGTATATGTAAAATGCCGGTATATGTATATGTAAAATGCCGGTACGTTTAGTGTTAAAATAAACAGGGCAGGAGAAGATAAATTGGAATTTAAGTAGCGAAGATCCGCGCTAGTCAGACACGAGCCTGAAGAGAAGTGTGTTACGAACTTTTTTCGACGGTCTACTTTTATTAGATTTTCAACACGAAATTCTCCACATTCTTTTGTTAAACAGAATCCTCGATTACGTTAATTTTTATTACGATCATTTCTTTGGAACGTGCACAATTTATTTGTCATTTTTGTTATTTTTTGCTCTATCTGTAAAGATGAATCGCCGTCCATTAATAATTCCCGTTCATAAATCATTGAACACTTAATAAAATTGAAACTGGCTACGATTTACACAATCAAAAAATTATCAATCTGAGCCTGTATTTTCTTTTCATACCGCTTGAATTATTGAACATTGCATTTGAATAATTTTCAGAGATTTTCAAAGTGTGTTTACAAAACAAAATACAAAATTTTATTTCATTTCATTAAACCACTAGATTAATTGATCATTAAATAATACGGCGAGAAATTGTTTCAATGTTCTAATCTTATTCTTCAATAAATCAGTGTGCTTATGGTCGGGAGTGTACGTTCGATATCTGATAAAAATATAAAAAAAAGAAAGAGACGTGTTTGCGTTATCGAACGGAGTTCGCTGATTTCTTCACTTTGTATCTACATCGATGACTACTTTTCTTGCCTCTTATACTTTTTATCGTCAGGGAAACTAATGGTGTTTGCACATAAAAAAAAGCTGATTAGATACGTAGAAAAATCCATGAGAGTAATTCATGACGAATACCATCGTTCGTATACGTATTTTGTATATTGTATTTTACATTGCCATTTTTAGAATGATTCTTACTTGTATTGCAATCTCTATTCGTCTTTTTTTAATTACATATTTCAGAATAGATTTTTACAATATCTGAAAAACTTTGACCTAAGTTATGGTATATTTTAAAGATTTTATCACAGGATATATTTTAATCGATGTTATATTCAAAATAAATAAATATTCATTACGAATCTTATAGTATAGATATAATATATCTCTAAAAACAAATTTGCACTCAGCTATTGAAGTATACATATACTATCTCTGCAAGCAACATTTTCAGGAAAGTAAAGCTAATATAGCTCTTTTCCTGGCGCTAACTCACACTTGGCATTATCGATTTATTGTTCCCTACAAAAGAGAATGATGTACGATAATTCGTTGCTCGGATATACCTTTCCGGACGTTATTGATCCAAAGGATTGAGTACAATGTTTCTACTTGTCGATCGTAATTCTTCTTTTCGAAACTAATCTCACGAAGAGTCCTTTATTTTCATAAGTTTTTCATCGCACCGGTGCATAAATATTTGCACACGTGTCATTCTCGATTCTCGTAACGGTTTCGCGTTCTACCTTGAAATCGCTTGCATTCACGTAGGCAGATAGCATCTTTCAGTTTTCCGACGCGTGTTTCGAGATGATCAACAGCTGTCATCTGCAATGTTGACAATAAATAAATGGTTTCTTCTAACGTGTAAAAGACTTTCGAGATTGAACTTTAGATTACCTGGAGAACTACGTAGTGCGATTCAGTGAGGAGAGTTAGATCGCTAAAAATAACGTAGAAGCTTAGTTATTCTAGTTGACGTCACTTTTTTATTGTGATAAATAATCAACTGTCTGTGGTGTCAATGTTAAATGTAATGTTAATATTAATATAAGTTAATATTTAATTAAAACTAAAGTAGCAAAACTGGAGATGCAGTAGCATGCAATGCGATTCAGCGGTGATAAACAAAGTGACTGATTAAAAACAGTCAAGAAAACTATAAAACTATCCTACTCGACGTTAGCCTTTTCACGTGATAAATTCCGCGATGTCCTTCGAAGGGCAGAAAATAATAAATCTCCGAGCAGTGTGAATCACTGAAAGCAATAATAAATATACAATATTATAAAACAACAAATATATACAAATATAAATATACAATACTGTAAAACAACCAACAGAAATGTTGTATTTAACGAACCTGATGTCCCTTGGCGCTTTACTATTCCTCCTCAAGTCCGTATCGGCGAAACACACGCGGAATTACAATAAATTCTGCTCGTCGATCGGGGACGAAGCTTTATCCAGTCAAGAGAGCGACAATCTGCGACAGCTGTTGAACTTCATTCGACGATCCTCCGAGTTCCATCCACTCGTATTCTCCGTAATTCTTCCGGAGTTTCGATCGAGCTTGGTCGAACTTCTGCTGAGACACGTCGCCGAGAATTCGATCGAGACCTACAAAGTCCGAGCGAGAGATCTGTCGGTGAAGATCCCCTGGATGAAGCGGCTGCAACTCACCTGGATCCTCGTCGTTCGCGATTTGTCCAGCCTCGACGTGTTTATTTACTGGCAGTCGAACTTGTGGAAAGTGGGAAACCAATATTTGATCATCTTCACGGGGAACGTAGCCGTCGCGCTGTGGGAGCGGGTTTTCAGAAACTTGTGGAAACGGTACAACGTTTATCGTGTCATCGTCGTGGACGACGATTTCCGATGTCTGACGAGGTACGCGCCCTTCGAGATATCCGACGACGGATTCGGTAAAGCGTACAAATCGTGCTTGAAGACGAATCCCACCAAACAATCTGGGAAAGATGATTCGCTTCAGAATTCGTTGAAAGATCAAACGGAATATTCGGATATTCAGTTGGACGCCGATACGAGGTTGTTCGAGAATTTTCGAAACTTGAACGGCTATCCGGTGGAAGTGCTGGTGTTCGAGTCTCTGTTGATGAACGTCTCGTACGACGATCAGAACAGGCTGAAATTGAGCAAACCGGACGCGAACGTGGTGTTCGCGTTGGAGGAGGCGATGAGAGCGAAGTTTCGTATAAAAGCGATGAGGAAGATCGATTTTAAAGACGATCCATTCCGCATTTCGTTAGATGGCATCGAGGCTGGAAAATACGACATGATCATCACCGGATTTTTCATCAAAGTTTACAATCAATATCAAAAGTTTCAGTTCACCTGCCCCATGTACGAAGACAGGTTGTGCTTCCTGTCGCCCGATTCTGGCTTGGTACCCAAGGCCTACATGCCTTTCCTACCGTTCCAAAGAAGCTTGTGGTTTCTTCTGATGGCATATAACGTAGTAATTACGTTTCTTTGGTGTTTGGTGGAATACATCAGCGAATCGCTGCGACGTCCACGTTCGATCAGTCGTCGATCAAGTATTAATCGTTTGACGAGAAACCAAACACGGGACTTCAAAAATAGGATGGGAAAGAGAGAGTTCGTTCGAGGAACACGTTCTTCCGATCTCTATGATCACAAACAGCCACCAGAAATCCCTCGATACGTCGAGAGATTATTCACCTTCGTGGAGTACCTTTGTTATCCTCTTCAAGCAAGCAAAATTCCAGCGCAGAGAGCTCTGCTCTTTGGTACTCTGTTCTTCGGTCTCATCGTCAACGGTTTGTATCAAAGCGTTCTAGTATCCAGTTTAAGCAAACCTTTCCATTACCCTCAGTTGCACACGCTGGAAGACGTGGTGGACTCTGGGAAAATCGTCTTCACCAAGTACGCCAACCTGAAGAACGTGTTCCTGGACGATTCTGAGTTGTTTCAGAGGATCCACGTGATCAGCACGCAACGATCCACGAGGAAGATCGTCGCGTACGATGATAAAATCGCGATCACGAGGTACTACACGATGGAGCTCGAGGACTTCGATTACTACGACAAAGAAGGGAATAGCCTTTTGAACTTGGTAGACGAGTGTCCGTTGAATTACAGAGTGTCTTACGTGACAAGACTGCATTCACCTTACGCGGAGAGGGTCGATTTCCTCTTGTTAAGGCTGAGGGAAGCGGGATTGCAGAATCTCTGGTTCGGTAATATGTTGTTCGAGATCAAGAGGAGAAAAACGTTGGACAACGAGGAGAGGAGGATCAGGTTGTCTCTAGAACACTATTCCTTGACGCTTTTACTGCTATTCGTTGGCTTGTTGGGATCCGTTTTAACGTTCCTTGTAGAATTGTACGTCGCGAAACGAAGTACCTGCAAGAAGAAGTATGTCAGAATAAGGAAAACAGATGAA